CAAGAAAAACATTTGTTTTCTGATCCATCAATTTATTAGAAATACTTGAAACTGAATCGAACAATTCTGACAAATCTAAGTCGATATGTTGTGGAATTTTTTGTGTGAAAGCTAAACATATCCCATTCTGTGAAATCAATGGCTGCAGTTTCTGCAAAAAACGTTCTCCGTTAGTTTCAAAAGTAAAGACTCCAATCCACCTCCATCCAAAATGGAGGAAAAGTTGTATAACTCCCATGTACTGATAGTCTTCATTTGGCACCATGTAATACAGTGAAGATAATTTGTTACTCTGAAATTCTTCCTGGGCAAAAGAGCCATAGGTCAACTACAGGAAAAGAATGAAAGAAAGAAGGAAGGAAGGAAGGAAGGAAGGAAGGAAGGAAGGAAGGAAGGAAGGAAGGAAGGAAGGAAGGAAGGAAGGAAGGAAGATAGAAAGAGGAAAGGAAAGGAAAGGAAAATTATTATATATGATAACCAGTGGAAAAAGATGGAAAAATGACTCCAGGATGGAAATTAAACAATTAAAAAGTTCTCAAACTCTAGGTAAATTATGGTTTTTATGAACATTACAGCAATAAAACCCCCAAGATGAAATATTTTCTCACTGAATGAATATAACTGGACTACAAGCTAAATTTAGTTTGCTACTATAGACTTTCAGATAGTTCATGTTTATGAACAGCTTGGAACCTGCTTACTATCTGAGCATGTAAACTCTTCCTAGCTTAGGAAAAAGGTTTTATTGCATTACCTTCTGCCCTTCTGTGCTGCAGGTAGAGAATGCATGAAAGACTATCCACAAGATTTTGGAGGAACAGAAAGAGTCAAGTATGTCTTCATTTACTGTAATTATTATAGAAATCTTCAAAAGTAACATAAAGCTCCAATCCTTCAACTATTTCCAGGCAAATCAGTTGAATTTTACATTCAATTATTATTAAGGCATTAGTAAGGCATTTGATAAAGTAGATCACAACTACTGCTCGATAAGATAGAAAAATGTGGGTTAGACAGCATCACCACCAGATGGATTTGCAGCTGGCTGACCGGCTGCACTCAGCGTGTGGTCCTCAATGGTACTGCATCTAGATGGAGGGAAGTGTGTAGTGGGTTGCCCCAGGGCTCTGTTCTAGGCCCAGTGTTCTTCAACACCTTCATCAATTATTTGGACGAGTGGATAGATGGGGAACTCATCAAATTTGCGGATGACAACAAGCTGGCAGGAATATCCAACACTCCAGAAGAAAGGCTTAGGATACAGAAGGATCTGGACAGACTTGAACACTGGGTGCTATCTAACAAAATGAAATTCAATGGTGAAAAAAGTAAGGTTCTGCATTTGAGCAAGGGGAACCAAATGTACAGGTATAGTATAGGGGGTGCCTTGCTCAATAGTAGTAACTATGAGAGGGATCTCGTAGTCCTAGTGGACAATCACTTAAATATGAGCCAGCAGTTTGCTGCAGCTGCCAAAAAAGCCAACTCAGTGCTGGGCTGCATTAACAGAGGGATAGAATCAAGATCACGTGAAGTATTAATGCCACTTTACAATGCCTTGGTAAGGCCACACTCTTTCAACCTTCTGCAAAGATTACCTGTGGAATCTTGAAGATACTTATAATTTGTGCCATGTAGGATGAAGCAGGAACATCTAATCCTCCAATGATGGCCATGAGATTCTTCTGGCTATCACATTTGTAGTTAGGGACAAATTTCTGGGATTTGAAAAGTAGGTCCAGAGTGGAGCGATAGGTCATGCTTGGGTTGTAGTAACTATCATAGATGTGGAACCCAAGGGTGATGTTAGGTAAGATCTGGGAGTCCTCATTGATCTCCTTCACAGCAAAGGCCAAGGCAAGGACGTGCTGGTAGAATTTGGTTATTACACTGCAAATAAATTAAATACCCCATTGAAAAAATAATTTCACAATTCTTGTAAGGAGGCATCCTCTCTATATGAATAACAAACCATATCTCTTGGAAGTAGGCATAGAATATCCTTTCTAAAATATTCAGTAATTTCCACAGAGTTCAGTTCTGCATTTTACCTGGTGTTTTCATGATTTGCAACCATTATATACAACAGCAAATAAAAGTAGTGACATTTTTTAGTTAACAAATATAGTCCTAATAATTTGGGCACAAAGTATGATAAGAACAGCTTCAACAAATTTATTGTATGTGTGTTTTCTGAGGGGTGAACATGGAGAATATTTTTTAATTTACCTCAAACTCATTAAATTATACAATAAATTAATCATTATATTTTATATTAGAAATTTGCAGGGACCTGGCTTAGCTAAGAAAATACAAGGGAAAAATAAAAATACAAGGGAAAAATAAAAATTCTTACACAGGTAAGTCAAAAGGTTTTAGAGAAGAGTGTTCCTTAAATTCAATTTCATAAAAGTGGTAAAAAATGTGAGACACCATCCCACCAATGATGAGATCACCAAGCTGGAACAACTCATGTGGAACAGGGAAGCTTCATTTGAAGGGCATCTCAGAGTAACTACCTTGTGCATCAGGAATATCAAAAGGAATAAGATCTTCATGCTTTTGGGATGGTGCAAATATTTTTGTCTTCCAGAGTATGTATGCACCCCAATGGTTCATCCAATATTTAATCCAAAGATTTTATCTGAAAATGCCCTTCATGGGACAATCCATCAATTTCTGATTGAAAAGCCATGCGTGTGCCAATTTGTATCTTGAATATCACCAGGATCGGAATATATATTCTGGCAAGGAAGAAAGGCAGGAGGGAACATGAAGCAATGATCATTATTATACCTTGTGCCAATTTCCCTGTGGTTCAAAAGTTAATTAACAACCAAACAGATACCTTGATTGTTGTTGAATTGAAATGCCTTCATGCAAAGTCTTTAATATTTGAGCCTAACTAAATAAATATAGTGATTCCTCTAGATTATTGTTTTATTTTTCATGGAGCAGCATGGTGGCCTACAGGTGGAGTTTTTGCTTCTCAGTCAGGAGGCTGTGAATTTGATCCTAGGTAGTGGCAGATATTTTTCTCTTTGGGCACAGAGAGATAATATCTGCTATGAACTCCATGTAGGCATCAGGAAGGGCATCAGGCCAGTAAATGTTCAGCTCCATTCAGTCACCCTGATTCCACCCCAAAGCAAGAGATTACTGGGTCATTAAAAGAAAAAAAAATTTTCATGAGAGAATAAATGGCTATTAGTTTAATTATTTTTTTAACTGAACACATGCCAATATAAATAGTCAATGACAATAAAAATAGGCCTAATTGTTCAAATTCATGTTCATTGCTTGCAATGGAGCAGGACTCCCATTTTCCATGTAAAATGAACACAGTATTTTAACATAGAAGAGGAAAGTTTTTTACCTATTAAGGAACGCCAATTAAACAAGATAGCCTTTTGGATCAGTTCACTCATATTTCCAGGCAGAGAATGCTAATGTGACTCAACACCAATATTGATATCATGAAATTAAAATAAAGGACCGAAAGCAAATTTATTTATTTATTTATTTATTTAATATTTTAATTATTTTGACAAATAACTCAAAGCATCAAACATATCCAACACACTTTCCTCTTCCTATTTTCCCCCAAACAACAATGACCCTGTGAAGTGAGTTGGGCTGAGAGAGAGGGACTGTCCTAAAGTCACCCAGGTGGCTTTCATGGTTAAAGTAGAACTCATGGTCTTCTGCTTTTTAGTGAGGCATTTTATTAGACATATATTATATGATGGAAGGGGTCTCCGCCAAAGGACTAGTGGAAAACATACCTAAATCAAACCAAATCAAATCAAAATTTATTACCGACATCCGCCAGCATACACTTCTAATAAGGGATGAGGCAGAAGGAAGATTACATTTCATATGTCTTTAAATTGCAACATTATTAAAATTGGATAATAGGGTACAATAAAATATATATTATTAATCATTTTCCATAGCCAGAAAGAACACATGATGTACTACATTCTCTTTATTAATTGTTCCCTGTGGTTTAGCTCAGGCTGCAAAACAATGATGTAGCACATATATTACATACATATATTACATAACATAAGGACTAATGGAAGCCATACCTAAATCAAACCAAATCAAATCAAACTTTATATGGACATCACCCAGCATACACTTCTAGTAAGGGATGAGGCAGAAGGAAACTCACATTTCATATAATGTCCTTAAATTGCAATAGGATAAGTAAAAATACCTCGGTGGATGGAGAGTGAATGGCTAGACTGTTCATGATTTTTTTTTAAAAAAAACATAGTTAAATGTATATTAAATGTTCAAAAACATTTTAACTTTTACCTTTCAAATATGGCCAATCAATCCAAAACAGATCCCCTATGATACTGAGCTAAGTACATGTCTATAAAATATCCATTAGCTTTTTCCCATATTTATACAGTGATTTATGAGGTGAACCTATAAAAACCATGAACAGCCAGCTGCCCTTTATCCTTAAAGTCAATATGTCAAATCTCCTAAGAATATAAACAGATAGATTGTCAAAATCTTGTTAGCTTGATGTATTCAACGGAAAAAAAATGTTAGGTAAAACAATCTGATGTACTACATTCTCTTTATTAGTTGTTCCCTCTGGTTTAGTTCAGGCCGCAAAACAATGATGTAGCACTTTGGGAAGAATATGCATCCCAGTAATGCAGCGCTGGAAGACATGATGGAGAAGACCTCCACAGCTACCATGGCTTTGCCTTTTGTGCTCAGATAGGCTGGAAAGAAGGAGATCCATACACTGCAAAAGGCCAACATGCTGAAGGTAATGAACTTGGCTTCATTGAAGCTGTCAGGTAATTTACGGGCAAGGAAAGCCACAATGAAGCTGGCAATGGCCAAGAAACCCATGTAGCCCAAGACACAATAGAAGAATGTAGCTGACCCCTCATTGCACTGTAAAATCACTCCTTGGAGCTCTAAGTGCATCTCTAACTCAGGGAATGGGGGATATGTTGACAACCAAAGAGTACAAATACACACTTGAACAAGAGAACAGGAAAGGACAGCAGCGAAGGCCAATCTTTTCCCCAACCACTTCCTCATTTGAGATCCAGGTTTAGTGGCCATGAAAGCCACAACCACTGTGATGGTTTTGGCCAGTACACTAGAAATGGCCATAGAGAAGGTAATTCCAAAAGTTGGTTGTCTGAGAAGGCAGGTCACTTTGCCAGGTTGGCTGAGAAATAAAAAAGAGGAGAGAAAACAGAACAAAAGAGAGACAAGGAGGGTGTAGGTGAGAGACCTGTTGTTGGCTCTGACAATGGGAGTATCCCTGTGTTTAATAAAAGTTCCAAGTATCCAAGATGTCAAGAGAAAGAAACAAAGAGCTGCTGAAGCTAAACCAATTCCTAAGGTTTCTTCAAAAGTTAGAAAGATTAGCAGTTTCACGATACAGTCTTTCTTTTCTTTATTTGGATAATGATCTTCTGAACATTCGAAACAGTCATCCATATCTGGAAAGAAAAGTCAATGAATTTGTCACTTATCTATTTCATATTTTCGAAAATCATAGCCTGAGTGAATACCAGTTCTTATTCTTTCCTATGATGTACCTTTCTGATAAAATTATATTAATACGATTCCTGTATTTTATCTTGACTTTAAGATGCTTTTGTTTTCTATGTGGAAAACAGTAGTTGGTTTTACAAATACCCACCCTGTGTGCCTTAGATGATAGAATATCTGATCCATTCACAAGACTTCTTTTATCTAGTGCTTTCATGTATTTTCAGGTTTTCATGGAAGTTAAAACTTGGAAAATGGCAGATCATGTGGAGAAGAAATGTTGCATTCATTACAGCTAAATTGAACTTTATCAGTTTACAGCACTCAGAATGTTGTTTCTTCAGCTTTACACTATCATCTATTTAAAATTTAAATTTAACTTGATTGTGCTTATTTCTGTAGTCTTTAAAGGAGGAGCTTAGTGTTTCACAAATCATACATTAATTCAGCCAAAAAGAACAGATAAAGAAAGTTCTCAGTTATGCTCATACATTGAAATAGAAACATAGAAAACTGATGGACCTGGTGGTCTTTTTTCTTGGTAAGGATTAAATATTTTATCCTTGTCTTTTTCCACCACATTTTTTTCTTTAATTCTGAGTCTACTCTACAAACTGTAATAGGCTGGTCATCTCCCATTCATAAGTTTGTTAGGTCAGACATTGCTTAGCTGGACTTATGAGTAGGTTGAGATCCAACACATGATCCAGGAATCACCATCACAATACCTGGTTTTAATCATAGTATATGAAAATTCCTACGTCAACCTAGCACCCAAAGTTCATTAAGACAATATTTGTTACTGTTGCATGAGGATGGAAAATGTAGGGACAAGAAGAGCAATGCAAAGGAGAATGCAAGGGTGAACAAAAACAACTTCCATTACTAATAAAAACTAAGGTTTCTCTGATGAAATAAGATCTTCCTCTCCCCTCCCATCTATCTATCTATCTATCTATCTATCTATCTATCTATCTATCTATCTATCTATCTATCTATCTATCTATCTATCTATCTATCTATCTATCTATCTATCTATCTATCTACCTACCTACCTACCTACCTACCTACCTACCTACCTACCTATCGATCCTGCATGGGGCAAATAAATGATGGATTCCGATGAAGAGAATTAGCAATCAATTATAAATATTTTCTTTTAAGAATTGATAAAAGTTGTAATTACATATTTGCAACTAATTGAAGCTTGGTATTTACCGGCGGAAAGCCTTGATGATGCATACATGGAGTTTGGAGCAGAGAATTACTCATTGTGTCCAGAGAGAGAAATACCTGCTGCTATCTGTGATCATGGGTTCCTGATTGTGAGGTGAGAGCTCCACCTCTAAATCACCATGCCGCTCTTTTGAAGCCTATATAATGAATGTTTAATTTATGAAATAACAATCTATTGGAATAAAATATATAGTGAAACTGATAACCTACCAGTTTCATTAGAAATCTTTCCTTCTAGGCATGGAACACAGTCATAGCAACAGAACTGACTGCCTTCAGCCCGTCTCTTCCAGAATCCAGGGGAACAGTGGTCGTTACACAAAGAAACAGGGAGAACCTACAGACATAAGCACGGCCATTGACATGAAAGGATCTTGATTAAACAATGAAAATGGTCTACATTACATAAATGACCCTTAACATTTTACTATTTTACATAGGGAATGTGTTCCTTTGTATATGAACATGACTGAGCCAGAGTTAGAATGTTATATTGCATGCTAATTCAGCTCATTGCCAGGAATTCAATCCTCACTGGCTCAAAGTTGACACAGCCTTCTATCCTTCTGAGGTCAGTAAAATGAAGACCCAGATTGTTGGGGGAAATAGGCTGTCTCTATAAGCCAGTTAGAGAGTGCTGTAAAGCACTATGAAGCAGTACATTGTAAACAAGATGTTGAGAGTTTGGAAAAATTGCCAAGAAGAGCAACTAAGATGATTAAAGGCCTGGAGACTAAAACATATGAAGAACGGCTGCAGTATTTGGGTTTGACTATTCTAGAGAAAAGAAGGACTAGGCATGACATGATAGCAATATTTCAGTATTTTAGAAGTTGCCACAAGAAGGAGGAGGTCAACTTATTTTCCAAAACACCTGTAGGAAGGACAAGAAACAATGGATGGAAACCAATCAAGGAGAGAAGAAACCTGGAACTAAGGAAAAACTTCCTAACAGTGAGGACAATTAACCAGTGGAACAGTTTGCCTTCAGAAGTTGTGGGTGCTTGATCACTGGAGTTTTTTAAAGAATAGAATAGAGCTGGAAGGGACCTTGGAGGTCTTCTAGTCCAGCCCCCTGCTCAAGCAGGAGAATCTATCCATCTAAGACAAGTGACTGAACAGACTATATAGCCACCTGTATGAAATGGCATAGGGTCTTGAGCAGGGGGTTGGATGAGAAGATGTCCAAGGTCCCTTCCAGCTCTATTCTGTTTGATTGATTTAAGTCTAAGCACTATTGCTATTGCTATTCATACCTGGTTAAAACCAGGGTGCCAAAAGATTGTGTTCTCAATGATAACTTCTTTCCCTTTTGGAGCATTGGGGTGTAACTTTCCAACTTTAACTCTCTGAAACGATCTGTTTGGGAAAGTGATCATGTTGATGATGTCAAAGCCACCTGGACCTTCTCTTCTGTTTTTAAAGAAGACTCTTTCTCCAGCTGAGTTGTTAAAAGAAATATGTTGAAGAAACTGGTGGAGCTACTTGAAGGAGAAAAAGAAAGTCAAAAAGGAAACAATGCATTAGGAATTTCTTTCTTTTACTTTTCCTTCCAAGGAAACCAAATAAGATTCCCTTTCTTCAAATGCAGAAGAAGAAAATGTCAACACACAAAGAACAATCAATAACTGAGATATGGAACTCACTTTATTAATTGTCACAAGTACTTTAAAGCCAGCAAACTCAGCAATTCTTCTGATATTTTACCATAAATTTAAAGACCAACATCATTCCATGGAAATAATAGACCCCTTCTACAATAGAACAACTGTCATAAACTCTACATTCCCAGGCTAACAACCAGCTTTGATTAAATTTTCAAAAACTAATAAAAAATAATGAAATGTTCCCATTTCAGAAAGATTTGTTGGGCAAAAAAAAAGGACTGCCTTCAGATGCCTCTCCATGGTATTGTATTCTTGGAACCAGGATTTATGAATGTATAAGTCAGGCAAGAAGAAATTGTGATTAATGGAATGATGATAGATACATAAATTCCATTGACTGGGCCAACATTTCGAAAGGCAGTATGACTTTTAATTTCTTTTTATTCTATAATAAAGAACAATCTCTTACATTAAAACTCTAGTTGCTTTAGGATCTCTAATGATATGAGGCCATAGGCCAGGGCAAACGTGTCATATCAAATTGAGAATTGCTATTTGCTAAAACAAAAGATAGGAATGGCATGGGGAGATTACCTGCCATGGCTGCAGATTTGGAAATTCAACCCTTTGAAATTTTGTCCATTTGGGACTTGATGTCTTTGCCTCATGCAAAGAATGTGCCACTGCATAAACAGCATTGTAGATACTGTAGCTTTGGCTAATCATCTGCAACTCAAACAGGGGTGCAGGCAGAGTCTCCAAATTCTCTTCCCCACTACAAGTTTCACTGTTCAACAAAGGTAAGTCTGCCTTTAAAAACACACAGTCAAACAATTGTTGCCAAACCTCTTGAAGAAATCCATCTTTGTGGGTGGAAGGTTTGATGACTTGAAGAAATTGTTTGAAGCCTTGAATGTCTCTTGAATGAACTGTAAAGGAAAGAGCCCCATAGAACAACTGGAGATCCCAACTCCTTTGAGTTCCTGTCAGTATGAAATCAATTGGGTTCATCAGGATCCAAACCTTTGTAAATATTGATATGTCTTTATTTTCTGGATCACGTAAAAACATGACAGTTCTGAGCCATACTATTGTGAATGATTCTCCGTAGACAAGAAAAACATTTGCTTTCCGATCCATCAATTTATTAGAAATAATTGAGATTGAATCTAACAATTCTGAAAAATCGTCTAAGTGAATATGTTGTGGAATTTTTTGCGTGAAAGCTAAACAGATCCCATTCTGTGAAATCAGTGGCTGCAGTTTCTGCAAAAAACTATCTCCCTTGGTTTCAAATGCAAAGACTCCAATCCACCTCCATCCAAAATGGAGGAAAAGTTGTATAACTCCCATGTACTGATAGTCCTCATTTGGCACCATGCAATAA